TCCCAAACTGCTGGAGGTTTTTCGTCCCTAAATGTGTGTGTGTGTGTGTGTGTGTGTGTGTGTGTGTATAATATGTAGAAGAATAATGTGGGTGTTATTCCTGGATTATGGTAGAAGAACATGCATCAAAGTTATTGAAGCACATTTGGCACTAAATAGTTCTCCCTCTGTCTCTATATTCTCTGTCCAAAAAATTCGGTCAAGTGAAGATTGTTTAGAAGCAGATAAATGGAAATATGTATTACTGTTAAGAATGACACTGAGTAAGATGTGTATTTAAAGGAAGCTATGAGAAGAGGGAAGAAAGCAAGGAGGAAGATCACAGAAGATATCATTATTAATACAGTGAAGTGTCACCTGTCTCCTGAGAGGTTTCCAGTGTAAGTTTTGCATACACATTTTACCTCTCAGCCAAGTTTTCCTTTTAGAATGACAAATGACAAGAGAAGTATTGGGTAAATAATGTTAAGTATTGGTATAGCTTCTTATGAATTCTCCAAATGGCTTTTTCTTATACAGGTTACCTGTGCTTTTTCTCAGGTGGAATTTGTGAATCGAGTATGGTATTCTGCCTTTTCATTTTCTCTCTATTGCTTCTTCTTTTCAAAGTTACTGAACTAAAAATGATTCTGCTCATGTAGCTGGACATGCTTAGAATATAGGACAGGATTTGTTACATTTTTCTTCTTGTAGACAGAATCTATTTGAGCTTGAATCAAGGGTCACAGAATAAAACCAATCAAGAAAATAGAGAAACACATGTTTCTCTATACTCTGGCAATAGGAACTGAATTCCCTTTGGCATTGTGCCCACCTCCTTAATCTATCCCTTCTCCTTGGGCACCTTTGTGGGTTCCACCTCTGCATGACTCTGCTCACAGTACTAAGGGTCAGGTGTATTTATCTTTCCTCTATTGGGACAGCCTCCTTTATATTTATGCTCCCTAATTTGATATCTCTGGAGAAAAATTTGCTCCTGGTATTAAGACTCACATATCCAAACTTTCTTGACTTCTCCATTTGATGTTTTGCTGATGGCTCAAAGTGTAATAATTTGCTTACTCAGACTTATTTCTGTATTCCCATCTTGCCCAACAGTACTACTTGTCATCTATTTACTCATCCTCGGAGTCCGGAGAGTATCATTGATTCTTCATTCTCCATTAACTTTCACAGTCTCTCAATTATCAAGTCCTGTCAATACTGTCTTCTTAATTTCCTATAGATCTGTCCTCTACTTTCCATCTGCATTGTAACTACTGCCTCATTTCAGACAACTGGAAAAGCTCACCTAAAATACTGTATAGGTCATAAATGGTCTTCCTTCTTCCACTCTTGTCCTCCTCACCAGTCAATTAAATACACAGCTACCATGTGATCCTTGTCACTTACCTACTTAAAATCCTCAAAAGATTCATCGTGTTCAGTTAAAACCCAAACTTTGTGGGCATGGTATGCAAGGCCCCTTCAGATGTGGTTCTTAGTAAATGGTTGGCAATCTTCCTGCTGATTTTTCTTCCTCCCTTTCTGCTCTCTCCTCATGTAGGGGCCCACCTAGAAATTCAACTACATGATACTTCTGCACTTGCTAGGGTATGCCATTGCTTTCTTTTTCTTTCTTTCTTTTCTTTTTTTTGAGTTTGTTTATTTAAGTAATCTCTACACCCAATCTCGGGCTTGAACTCATGACTCCCAGAGATCAACAGTCACATGCTCTTCTGACAGAGACAGCCAGGCTTTTTTATGTTAATTATTTGTACCTACAATATTTGCTTTCTTATATTAATTATTTGTACCTATAATATTTGCCACTGCTTCTGCCTCCACCTTACTCTCTCACTCATTTTTTTCATCCATTAATGTAGACATCAGCTCCTCCTGAGAGATTTCCCTGATTTTCCAAAACCAGAATTAGAAGTCTGTATGTGCTCCTTAGTAAGAGAGCAGGGAGTGCTAATTACTACTGGGGGCTGTCACATTCTAGTGTGGCTATTGGATGGTCTATCTTCTCACACGTACTCCTCTTCCTCTCACCCGTTAGATCATGAGAAGTTCAAATCATAGTAACTACTTAATAAATATTTGTTAAAAAAAATTGAACATATGTCTTCTTCACACTGAGATGTTATGTAGCTAAATGATGCTATCAGAATAGATGTGGAATATGCTTTTTCTGCCTCCACAGATGAAGCAACTATGAAGTATGTAAAAAAACAAAAACAAAAACAAAAAAAACCTCATCATATTCTATGATCCTAACTACACTCATTATTCACAAGATAATTATCAATAAATTATTTTTGTTAATAAAATCATTCTTCACTCGTGGGAATGAATCTTTTTTATATTTAAATATTGGCATAATCATCGAAGTACAGAAATAAAAAATTTAAGAATTTTTTCCTACTGAAAAAAAGAGACTGGAAGTTACTCTCAAAAGTATTCTTTAGAATAAAAATTAAATCTAGAGAATCAATCTTCTTCCTAATCCTCACTCTTGATATTTTCTATTCCATCAGCATAATAAATCAGATTTTTGGTGAGCACTCTTTTATTCATGTGTGAGCACTCTTTTGTTCATGTGGGACCAAACATGTCCATTGCTCTGATCGACATCAGCTGTTCATTAAGGGGCTTAAGAACACCATTGAGTAAGGTGCAAAATTGTGATGTACAGAACCACGTTTGAAAATTGTTTCTAAAAATCGAATGTCATGTTATGGTAGAATGAAAGCTTTCATACACACAGAGAGAAAAAGAGTCTATGAAATGGGATATTAAAAGAACACAGTGGAAAAAGGAAACCCAGATAAAAAGAGTGAGAGAGGAAAATATATTTTAACAGCAGGAAATGACATGACATGACATGAAAAAAAAAAAAACAGAATAAAAGTGTAGAAAGACAGGTGGGAGAACTTAAAGTCAAAATTAATGACAAAAAATAAAAAGTCTGCTTAAAGAAAAATGAAAAGAAAATATAAAGGACAGCAAGAGGATCTTTCAATTATAAACTTAAGTTTCAGTGCTCAAATATTGCTTTATTTTAAGAATCAGGATAGTTTTTTTTATATTGCATTATTTTTAGAATTTTCTTTAATTTAGAAGTGTAAGATTCTTCACTGTGACAATGTGAAAGCACACAGAACATCAGTGTATCATTACTGCAGTAGTCTCCAACCAGTTTGGCTTGGCACATCAGGATACCTTGTACCATTTGTATCCTTAACAGCTGGGCTATGACACTATTAGCTGAGCAGGTCTTTACTTATTTCTTTAATTTTTTTTTCTTTTTAATACATTTGCTTTCTCCTCAGATGTTATCTGGGCATTTGGAAGCCAAATAATTAAGTCTGTAACAATAAAATAAGGGTACACTGCTCTTTTTAAAGTAGAATATTATTGCTTTACTCTAACATCCAGCTTCTCAGGAATCTAACATTCAATAGCTAATGTTTTCTTTTTTAGTGGCCCCCTTTTTTGAGTCTGTTACTGATACTAAATATTATAGTTTTATGCCAAATGTCTAAAGGCAGACTATTAAAATAAAAAATATTAACCTGGAATATTAAAAAAATAAACTTCATAGAATTATCATAACAGCAGATAAGCTCCAGAATAAAAACCAGATATTTTCTCCTCCCACGCCCAAACTAACAATGGAGTGATATAACATTCTCATTTGGCAAAGTGATTACCAAAGTTCATGCCAAAGAAACATAAACAAATACATAATGCTGGAGCTACAGCAAATGTGAAAAAATATTAATTTTCTAGGTTTAAAAGCTTTTAATGCATCTCTACATAGATCTGCTGAGATTTTGCTGTTTTGAAGGTACTGCGCTAGAAAGATAAGCCACAGGCAGGGGAGGAGACAGACTACAGTAAGTACTAAAAGCAAAATACTCACAGGGATAGGAAGTGTTCAAAGGAAGAAAGGCATCATCATTAGCTGGAAGAATCAGGAAATCTAATAAGGGGATATGTCATTTGAGATGGGTGGGATTTGGAAGATAGAGACGTAGGGTATGACTATTTCTATTGTGATTCTTCATGTTTAGGTGCTCATCCTATTTTATCTGATATTATCTTTCTGCTGATTTCTTCTTGCATTTCCAACTTTGTGTCTAAACCCTCCACTACATGACGTCACTGAGAATTAGCCATACCAAATTAACCCCTGTCTCCTGAATAAACCAAATTTTTTTTTTTTTAAATCACTTAGCCCCTGCTCTTACTATTGTCCCCACCCCCTTCACTGCTTTCTTCCCTTACCTTACAGAGGTTGCAAATGAATATAGAAGGTTTGGTTCACTTTCAAGGTCTTCCTTGACCTCTCCATGAGTTAAGTGTGTTATCTCACGGGGACTTCCACATCTCTTTATCTGAGGTTTGATAACCTTGTCTCCTATTAGGTGTCACTACGTTTCTAAACTTATTCCTCCAAGCAAAGTATGAGATTCCTGAGAGCCTGGGGGACGGGTGGTAAAGTCTCTGAGTCTTCAGGCCCAGTGCCTCCCAGGTGGCTAAGTACTGAGGGACTGCGTATACCCTGATGAAATCGGTGCTTGTCAGGAGACAATCTGCGCAAACATAACTAGGGCTTGTACCCCAAGGTTCTTAAAAGCAGCGGCTGATACAGAAAAACCAACTCTAGACTCTTGGATTCACTTCTTCCTCTGACTGTCTGGGCCACTAAGGGGGAACTCCGAGGGCTAAGGCCGTGCAACCTGGAAGCCCACAGCGCTACTAGCAGCAGCAACAGTAATTTAATTACCACTGCTAGTGCTAAACCTCCAGGCGTTTCGATGTGGTTTCCTAGCCCTCATCTAAATGTTTCTCTTTAACGGCCTAAAGTGGCCCCTTCATTCTTACCCAGAATCTGGGAAACACCTTCCTTTCTTTCAGACTGTGAGAAAAAAAAGAAAAAAAAGGGGGGGGCTTTCCTGAGGCTGGGAGCGGGGATTCCCTCTCCACGTTGGTGCACTCTCCACCCCGCTTACCCGAGCCGAAGGCGAGCCCAGCCCAAGGCGCGTGGGGCACCTGGAACACTCCCGACACCCTGCGGCCCCCGCCCCCCGGGAATCCGTTAATTAGGCTCGCCCCCATTGGTTGTCCCCAAGGCACCTCCATGCCGTCATGGTGTTATGCTAATGAGGGGGAGTCTCATTGGCTCGGCCCCCCGCGGCAGTTGCGAAGGCTCTGGAGGGGAGAGCCGGGTTGGCCGCAGCTGGGACCAAACCCACGGTCCCCCTCGCGCCCGCTCGGGGCTGTGCCGCGTGCACGCCCGCGCGGGGACCCGCTGTCGGGATCGCCCTCGGAGGAGGCTCCTCGACCTGCCTTTTAGGAAAGTGCCTCCTCAGCGCGCGGCTCGCACGCCTCCTCCCCTCTTTCTAGGCACCGTGCGTGTTCTGGTTTTCTTTCTTTCTTCTTCTTCTTCTTTTTTTTTTTTTTTTTTTTTTCCGCGAAGTAACTTTTGCGTTCCCTCCTCCCCCGAGTCCTGGGGACCAGAGGCGGTGCCGAGCCTGGGGGCGGTTCCTTGGCAGCGTAGATTCTTGTCAGAGCCAGACTTTTGCTCCTGGGCTCGGTTTGCATCATCCCCATCACACCCTCTGGAGAGAGGAGCCAGCCCCCTTTCAGCCTCAGCTTCCGGCACGGAGCCGACCCCTCCCCCTCCCGAGCCCCTTCGCGGTCCCTCTGTGGCCCCCCACATCTTGTTAGTCCTCTCCCTCTACTCCGCAGAATTTTCTTTCTCTCTCCCTCCTCTTCTCCATTCGTCGTTTTATGTTTCCCACTCTTTGAGGAAGGATGGTTGATTTGGAGAGCGAAGTGCCCCCTCTGCCTCCTAGGTACAGGTTTCGGGATTTGCTGCTAGGGGACCAGGGATGGCAAAACGACGACAGGTGAGTGGTGCGGTGCAGTTTTGCTCCGGCAGCACGGCTGAAAACGAGACAGAGATGAGGGAGGCTGAGGGGGAACAGGGGAGAAGAAAAAGGGAGCCCGAGACTGGGGGAGGGAGTGAGAGGGACTCTTTGATACGTTTCTCCATTTTGACTGCATAGAGCAATTGCCACGGACAAGGAGCTCTCCCTTTTCACTTTCTTATCCTTGCAAAGCATTTATTGCATTTATTGGGTACTTACTCTTTTGTCTATCTGCGCTTTCCTACGGTGTGTATAAGGCTGCTGCTAGAGGTACAATACATCCAAATGGCACGCAGTGTCAGTGCCATATAATTTTCATTTTTTTCCCTTTAGGTGTTCCTAAAATTTGAAAAAATGTATCCAAGTTGATTGAAAAAGCACATAAGAAACTTAAAATCTCTTGCACCCGTTTGCTTACTCCTTGTCACTGTTTTCTTGTTAAGGTGTTCACCTGCTACTGGGAATTTTATGCTCTTTAAACATTTGGAGTTACAGACAGACAATTGGTTTAAATATGTAACAGGTAGTTAGGGAAAATGACGTCAACTGAAAATACTCAACTTTGAACAGATAACTGTGACTGTAGTTAGTAATGGTGTTTGTAGAGCATGACCCAACCTTTTGGTAGTAAATATATTTTTAACCCAACTAGTATATATGTCACAAGATTAAAACTAAGTTTGAGAGCGAAAATGTTTATTACTAGCAAAATATTGTTCATGTGTTTTATCCAGAGCATCACTGCTTTACCGAGTTGAACTTCTGAAATTCCTCCAGCTATCTGATTCATTATTTAAAAGGCACATTTTGTGTTTCATTGAATTTAGTATTTTCTGGAATAGTCATTTCATGTATCCCATGTCATATGTTTTTGTTTTTAAATGAGCTATGTATACTAACTAAGCTCTTAACTCAATTGAAATATTTCCCTGAATTTCAGTTTGGCACTAATGTTCTATTTTAATTACAAAGTAGATCCATTATTGGCCCTATTAAAAAATCTCATCCCGATTCAGCACTGGGAAATATTCTCCTTTTCTTCCTCGCCATTTCAGCTCCCAATACCAACTCCTGTCTCTACACACACAGGCATAAATTTTGGACTTCTTCTTTGGTTTCATAGTAATTTAAAGGGGCATGGATGTTTCTCAGAGGGTAATATTTCAATGCAACCTCTTTTTTAAGGCAAAGCACATGTGTTTGTTAAGAGTTAAAAGAACAAATGCCAGATTACCAGTATGCTTGGAAAGTAAGGAGTTCTGGATGACTGAAGAGAAGGAAATGAATATCTAAATAAATAGTAAAGCTAGTTGATGTTTAGATAAACTGTATTAGCCTGGTTAAATGACTTATCAAATGCACCATTATGATTATAGGGATGGAATCTATATTTATTACTTCAGGACCATGGGATCATTATGTAGAATAGAAATCTTCATTCTAGAAATTGTGAGATGGACTGAATTCACAGAGGATATATTTTGGACTTGTGGTGACAAGATTGTTTGTTTTTTAATATTGTATCCAAGATGTTAATTGTTCATGAGATTCCCTTCATTTTTCCAAGGATGCTGCAGATATATTTCAGTAACTAGGAATTTTGGTTAGTTGAATACTACCCAAGTAAGTCACTGCTATTAAAAAAAAGTTTTACCTAGTTAGTTAAAATATCCATTATAATAGAAGTTTATGCTAGCACAAGTTTAACTTAAAGTCTAGGCCATATTTACTATTAAAATAAGGCATTAAGCATTAAAAAATTGTTCATCCATTTGACTGATTTTGTGGCTTCATGAAAACTTAATATCGAGTTTTGGTTCCATTTGTTGTCCTTTGAAGACAAGATCCTTGGGTTAATAGTGACTCAGACTTCAATCCTTTGCTTATTTTCCCACTAGCTGAGTCTCCTTGGGCAAGTCATTTGACCATTATGAAATTCAATAATCTTATTTCTGTAAGGTACAAAACTAACACTTAGTTGGCACTAAGCACTGGCTAATCGAATATGTTAACTACGCTAAGGGTGTGTGTGTGTGTGTGTGTGTGTGTATATGTGTGTGTCTGTCTGTCTGTCTGCAGGGGTTTATGTGTGTATGTGTATTTTAGGAACTAGGAAACTAAGTTCTGGGAAATTAAATGCTTCTTTTGGTAATATCTTATAAGTGCAAGGATGACACTTGAATTTGGTTCTTTGTGACTCAGATTCTTCAAGAAACTCCTAAGTTCTTTCCATTAAGTTTGTTTGAATTTGTAGGAATAATTAAGCAGCATCTAGCACAGTTTATGTGCTCATTAAATGTTACTTCCCTTCTTCACTTCTGATTAGCAATTTTCAGTTCTTTTGTTATATTTCTTCAGAATTCTAAATTAATATGCAGTAAGTAAAGTCATCTCTTTTGTCTTTGTTGTGCTCACAACTTCCTCTTCGCAACTGGGTCTAAGGAGCTTTCTTATTCGACTCAGTTATCATGGACTAAAATCCTATGGAGCTGAAGAGAAAGCACTCTTTCATAGAAGAGTGGGTAGATGGTTTATACCAACAGGTACATTTATTTTATGTTCATATTCTTTAGGCTATTTTCTATGAATATTCTTTGCCTGAAATTTTTGTTTTTTGTTTTGTCATACTCCCCCAACCCCATCACCTCCCCAGTCTCAGGGGCTCCCCAGGTCAAAAGTGCCTCTGAGTAAATGAATAAATAAGGAATTGTTAGATAAATACCTTAGCTTTCTAACTCCTTGGTTGTGATAATTCTGAAACATGTTCTACACTGTTTCCAATGGGACAAGCTCCAGTTGCCCATAGTTATAATTGGTTTAATATCACAAGCTTAATTGGATTTCTTCCCCTCTCCCCCCTACTGGTATTTTCTGGGTTCAGTTCCCAAATAAACTACTTATGCTCCAATCCTTATCTCAAGGTACGCTTCTGGGGGAATCTGAACCAAGATTGGGTATCTTCTTCTAGAGTCATATCCTAGAAATGATGGAGAAATCAGCTGATGGGAAAGTAGGCACATTCTACTTTGCTCTTCATGTTAAGAATTTTAAATTAAAGGATGCCGGGGTAGCTCAGTTGGTTAAGCATCTGCCTTTGGCTCAGGTCATGATCTCAAGATCCTGGGATCGAGTCCCACATCAGGCTTTTTGCTTAGTGGAGAGCCTGCTTCTCCCTCTGCCCCTCCCCCCTGCTCGTGCTCTCTCTCTCTTTCTCTCTGTCAAATAAATAAAATCTTTCAAAAAAAATTTTTTTTAAGGATTTTATTTATTATTTATTTGTCAGAGAGAGAGGGAGAGAGAGCAAGCACAGGCAGACAGAATGGCAGGCAGAGGCAGAGGGAGAAGCAGGCTCCCTGATGAGCAAGGAGCCCAATGTGGGACTCGATCCCAGGACGCTGGGATCATGACCTGAGCCGAAGGCAGCTGCTTAACCAACTGAGCCACCCAGGCGTCCCTCAAAAATTTTTTTAAATTAAATCTTAATAAGGCATGATTGACGGTCTTGTGAAAATGAGTAAGCCATATGATAGATGTGTGGAGTGTGGTGACAGGGGAATTTTGGTGGTCTCTACACCATAGATTTTCTGCGAACTAACTTTGGATAGTCCAGTTTATACCGTATCACATGTATGGAAATACGCGTGCTTAAGTGTATACGTAACGCAATATGTATGTACGTGTGACACACATATGTATAGAATTTGTGTGTGTGTGTATGAATCAGTGTCATCTTTACATAATTCCCTCTCCCTGATTTGCATTCTGATGACCTTTTCTGAGTAGGACATCAAGGATCAGAGTTAGACATAGCATTGTAGAGAACTGCACATTTAGCACATGAATAACATTAGTTCTCTGAGGCCATGAAATAACTTTGAGAGTTGCTAAATGAGAACACTGCTAATGCTTAGAGATGTCTGTTGCACATATGACTCACATTTATTTCTTTGGCATCCTGAGTAAAACACAAAAATCTAATTCAAGTGGCTCATGAAATATTTCTTAATGGTCATTTATCCATTCAGCTAGTATTTGACTACATGCTGCATCTCAGGGCCTTATTAAGTTAGGTTTTAAGAACAATATAAGGAGGAATGTAAAGCAGTGCTTTGTCAGGAGGTGTTCACAGATATATTTAGAGATAAGCTCCCCTCCTGAATATTGACAGTATTGTTTATGCTATGATGATGTTTTTGCAGAATTTCAATTTTAAGATTGTCAAGAAGATCATACACCCTTTTTCATAGGCTAGTCAGTGTTGTTTGAAAATAAAGTAGCTGAAGTCACTGTATTAGGGGTGACTCAAGGTATTCTATATATTTTGAATCTAATATTTAGGATACTTAGTATCCTCAAAGTTACTCTATGATTAAAACTAATATGATTAGAGACTGATTTTAACTGGTTTATATGGAAGCCATTCTGTAATATATAGAATTGTTGCAGCCTTCACATCTACTGTTTATTGTTTTAACATTTCTACGATTCATAAGACAATAAAGATTTAGAATGTTCTTGCAGTTTAGTGTTGGTAAATTTCAAGTTTTAAATGTCTTAAGACAGAACAAGCCCTTCTCATCCTCTCATGACTTAGCAATTTTAAAGTTTGGAACACAATGCCTTTGATGTGGATGAATTGTCAGGACTGTTGATAATTCAGTAATTGCCATTACTGTTAGCGGACAGTTCTCAGTTGCAGTCACAGAGGAGTAGGCCTTTTATTGAATTAACACCATTCAGTTTTCAAATATCTGGTCAGTTGTTTCAACTCTAGTAATTTTAAGTGTTATCTTTCATATTTTATAGGTGGCATTTAAAAGTAATGTAAGCAAGTCACCTAATGCACTGTAGTAATTGAAATCGTAAAAGGATTTGAACGAAGAGTGCAATTCAATGAATTAGTAGTTTAAGAGGTATTTATAAAATGGCAAAAACATGTTTGGAAAGCTTTTGGAGTATATGGAATTTTAGATATCATA